CTCATTGGAAAAAGCCAGTAAGAAGGAAAACTGATGATACAAGAGAGATAAAGTCTTTAAGACGATTTGTGGAGGTGGTACTTAAGACATTTCACAGGCTTAACTTTAAGCAAGAGAAAACTTACTTCCCTCTTGTAGCAGTTAACAAAGGATGTTGAGGATGCAACCAAGTGTTTAGATTTGGTGGTGGTGGGGTGTTGAGCATTAGATAAACCAACAGTTTCCTCCCTCTTTTTTTGTGAAGCAGAGGACCAGGCCATTTGCTGAGAGAGAGTATTTAGGTAGTGAATTTGCATGCTTGATGAGATTGAGCAAATATAGAAAATGGCAGAGAGATGCCTAGAGAAATAGAGATAAAATTTCAGGTCACTTTGAGAACCCAGATGAAATTGATATTCAAGAATATAAATAGCACTAATCCTCTTGCTTGTATAATTTTATGTAGTATTTTTTTCAAGATGAGGCACACAGAATTTGTCTAAAATTATACATCTATCAAGAAGTGCCATACTCCACTTTGAGAATCAAACCTAAATTTGTCTGGCCCCAAAGAATTTCAAAACATTAGATCATTTTGGTGATACATGTTCAATCATGGTCAAGTGATGGTGGAGACTTTTCTCAGGTCAGCCTAGACATTGGAGTCTCCTTCCAAAAACTGAACCTGGTGTAGATGCCCACCTGGCACGGTAGAGTCAATCAGACTGAGCTTTCACCAGGGAGTGGAGGTGAGAGTTGGCACCATGTGGGGAGGCACCTTTTCTGTGGCAATCAGGAACTGCTACTAACATCTTACAGATGCTGGGGGAAATAACATTTTTATTTCTACTTAATGATGACGTTCATCAAGAATGTATGCTTATAGTCTCTATATTAAGTGATTAGAGATAGAGCCTGTGCTTCAAGGAGTAATAAAAGTAATCATTCTGACTTAGATAAGAATGGGATACAGCAGCAGGGCACATGGAGGAGAGATCTGAAAAAGAGCAAGAAGAGTCAAACCCAGGACAGGGACAGGTTCTTCAGCTGTGTGTGGTTAAAGGCTTCACTGATTAATTAGGGGGTGAAGTGATTAAAGAGTCACATTTAATGTTTCTGTATTTGTGGCATGAATATTCATAGGTGTGTTTCTATATGTGCACTTAAGATAATTATTTAGAATATTCAATTTTCATTCCATTGTCATTTAAAAATTTTCCTTTTGTTTTTATAAGGTTTTTGAATAAGAACTTTTTTGGATAGTGCTATATGTGAGTATTTAGACAAAGCTGTATCAATAGATGTGGTTACTATATCTGCTTATGGGTCTATAACATTTCTGATAGTTAAAAAGTCAAAGTGGGAAAACTTTTGCTGAGACATGGCACAAGAGTTAAAAAGGCAAACCAGCACATAAATGTGTCTTATAAGGTAATAATAAACATACTAAAAATAGAAAAAATATAGAAGACATGAACTGTTTTTCATAGCTAGAAAAACAGAAAATGACTAGTAAACATAAGAAGAGAGTAATCTTACTCATAATCAAAGAAAGTAAGTGCTGTTAGGTGTCAATGATGGTAAAACTTGCCCAGTAAGCCATTTTTTAAAAAATAGATAATGCTCCTTTCAAACAAAAGGTAAACTGAAGATGCATCTTGGAAAATCATCTTAAATGTTGATGTATTGCATCCATTTGCACATTAATTGAGGATTTGAAAATTATGATCAGTAATCTACAGTGACTTTCATATTGAAATATTGCCAATGTGAATATTAACTTATATATTTTTCTGATAAAGTCTGGCTTGAGAAGTGTTTGGAGTTAAAGTGAATGTTCACATACTGAACCGTAAATAGTATCATAGCTGGGATATGTTACCATGAAAAGACCCTCGGGGATGCACCCTGTAACAAAGACCCAACAGGTGGGCCATTTTAATCTCCTCAGACTCAACTTATTGATGAGCACTTCCTAGATGGCCTTCAGAATGCCTGAGATATGAGATGTTTTTTCTCATAAGATGGTTGTGTTTCCAATAGAATTTATTATGTTCAGAGGGAAGCCACTCAAATTGAGGTTGGTGGCTGTCCAGTCCTTTTTCTCATTGCAGAAGTCATTGCTCTCACAGTACTCTCCAAGCTGGACCTTTCTGCTCCTGTTCTAAGATGCAGGAATAAACATTGTTTGGTTCTTAATCATAAGCAAAAGAAATCTCCTAACAGATTAAATCAGAAAGATATTGAGTAGACTATTAGGCAGAAGTCTGGACACCTAAGCTCAGGTTAAGAAGGAATAATGGAGTCTGGGTAAATCTTGGTACTCCAGCCAATTACTGTACAGAAAGTCTGTGAAAATATTGAACCCTAGGTATTCCTGTCTCCAGAAATGTTGCCCTTGAAAAATGGTTATGGCTGCCATGGCTACTTTATCACACAATTTTTTCACTGTTTCACTTTTGAGAGCATCATTAGCTTTGATTTAAAGTCTGAGGTAGGTTCAGATAGTGGATGAGGTTGTGTTGCATATCTGTAACAAAAGAGATGTGGATCATGAGCATGTGACTTTTGGCTTTAAATTGTAGGAATTGGGCTCTGCCTCCCACCAAGATTCATAATGTTCCAAAAGTACAACCAGTTTATTTTCTTTTACAGGGCAAGAATCCTTTGAATAAAAGACAAAATAAAAATGCACATCAGAAAATGTTATTTAATGTTGAAAGATATTACCAAACACTTAGAATCTGTCATCAGAAGGAAGGAGAAAATAGAAGAGGCAGCTAATGAAAATGTATTAATTTATTTTTCATTTAAGCAAGGAAGAAGTAACATTTAATTGATAATATAATAAATTAAGAAAGTTAGGTTGGAGTATGGTATTTAAAATTTTAGAAAAGAACCAGAAAATCACAGAAAAGTGAAGAAGAATAAAATTGATTTAAAAAAGATTCATATAAGGAGAAAATAACATGACAAGAACAAGACAGTCATAAGCATAATACAGGTACTAGTGCAGTAAAAAATTCACAGAATGGGCAAAAGCACACACACAAAATTTGATGACATTAAGAAGATTATAAAGCATAATTAAAAACTTTAATTCTGAAGTATTTGTTCTCTGGTTTTAAGACCAGCTTTGCAACTTACTGGTTATGGGGCCTTGGGAAAGTTATTTAAAGTTTTTTTGTCAGTTTTTCATTTACAAAATGGTATACAAAGCACATTTAGAAAGCTCAGAGCCAAATTTGCAAACTTAAATCCTTTAGAAAGAGAAAATTAATGAATTAAGTCTTTTCCAATTTTTTTAGGGGTACTGGGAATTCAACTCAGGACTCTGTGCTTGTGAGGAAGGTGCAGTGCCACTGAACTCAATCCCTGGCCCTGAATTAAGTCTTAATTAAAGGTGTACAGAACAAGAAAATCTAAAGTTTAAAAACGCAGTGAATTAATGAAGATAAGTAGACAAATTAATGAGCCCACAAACATAAACTCTAAAAATAATTGAACAGACAAATAAAATGAAACTGGCTATTTAGAAAAGAGGGAAAAATTAAAAGAAATTTTTAAAAATGAGACTTTTAGACTTGAGGTGGTGTGGCCATAGGGGTATAGTGTCAGCTTTATTGGTTTTTGGATATGCATAGGGGACTGGTGGGGCACACTTCTGGATGTGTTTGGGTGTGTCATGAAGGCATGGCATTGGTTTTTGTATGGTCCCTGGGCTTCCTTCTCTAGAACTATTCTTCTGCTCTGCCTCCTGGCCACCACGACCTAAACAGCTTTTCTCTACCACACCTGATGTTGCTGCCTTGGAGTCACCCAACTATAGATTGAAACAAAACATAAGCCCAAATAATCCTGTCTTCCTTTAATTTGTGAATGTCAGGTATTATGTCTCAGTGATGGGAAAAGTAACTAATACAGAAAATTGATACTGGAGAAGTGAGGTCATTGTTGGGATTGTATGTGACCATGTGATATAGAGGCCTTTGGAACTGGTTTTTGGAAGGAGTTTGGAAAAGTTTGGATATACTGGCTAGAGCAGCCCTAGCACACTATAAATGACTTGGTGTGGGCGATTCAGATCTAAGAAGACCAGGAGTGTCTGTAGAGATGTAGTGAGTAAAGCCAAGCTCAAGAGCTTTCAATTGGGAACAAGAACTTAGTGGCAATTGAACTAGAAGTCATGTATGTTGTACTCGTACAGAAATATATCCATCAAAAGATCGATAAAGAAAATGTGGTATTTATATACAATAGAGCACTACTGTACCATAAAGAAGATAAACTTTTAGGCATATGGATACACCTCAAGACCATAATTGTATGTAAAATAAATCAGACATACAAGTTTAAATATCACATTGTTTTTCTTGTGTTAGAAACCCAAAAGGTAAATAAGGAGCAAAATGGAGGATAGATATTGGGTAGTAAGAAGAACATGTTCAAATGGAAAGGGGAAGAAGAGAGGAGTGAGGGAGAAGGAAAGGAAAGGAAATGGGATTAAAAAGGAGAGAATGTAAGGGAAAAAAGGAAACAAAGCTTTTGTAAATGAGCAGAAGAGTTTTGAAGGGTGAGAGGGGAATGGGGAAAAGGTAAGAATTAAGATATATTATTTTCAGGTACAATTTCCCTATGATGAATGTGATCATTATGCACAGAAAATATGTACTAATGAAAAATAAAAAAATAATTACCCACTATAAAAAAGTGCCTTAAAATATTTATTTATTTTCTGATCCAAATGTGCTACATATTATGGAAATCTATACGCCAACCTATTAAGCATCTAAGAAAATAACCACCAGTAAATCATCTACTCCACAGGAAGTACAAATATGAGAACAGACCAGGTCACGAGGGAGTTCTGAGCTTCAGAGAAATTGTTACTCCATAAGAAACAGTAAATAAAGCCATAATCTAAGAAACTTGGTGAAATAGATGAAAAGGGATAAATCAAAATAAATATAAAGAGATATAAATATGTAAAGAACTTTACTTACTATCCTACTATTCTACAGGCTTTGTATCATGGATCGAATTTGAAAGCAGTTATAGACATGTATCGGGGATTAATCCACCGTGTTAAATATCGACTTGGCCTTTGGAGGACCAGACAAATTATTAACCTTGCAGAGCTAGAGGAATGAATGGACAGAAAAAAGTGTAAGTGATGTAGTCATTTCTGCTTTGAGTTTGGAATTAATTTAGACATTGAAGCTTTGCATATAATTGCCTATGACAAATAAAGATAGACTATATTTTATATTCCTGTAAGCTATTTTTATTTTAAGGTGGCATATTATATATTTAGATTGATTCATTAGGGTCTTCTCTTCATAAGCTATAGAAACCTCATTCTGCACAAACAAAGCACAAAAACAAATTTAGTGGAGAATACTGGGAAGATAGCTAAAGAATAAATATCAGACAATATGAATCACAGCTGCTGCAGAGATCTAGGGAACGGAAAATAGGGAAAAATATTTGCCTGTAGAGGATAGATTAGCACCTACAACTTAAAGACATTGGTTGCTCTGCTTTAAATTACATTCCAGGGAGACCTTTCTTGATTGGTTTAGCCCGAGTCATAAGTTTAGCACTTTGCACTGGGAAAGTCAGGAACCTTGAGAGTTACAGAGAGGCTCTATGCATTGCAGGAAGGGTTACACTCCAAAAGAAAATTTAAAAATTGGTACATAAAGATAGGTAATTGGCACTGAGCAGAAAAAATCCACCTGTAACCTATGGGTGTTGGGATTTCTTCCCAGAATGAAGTCCCCAATTTATAGCTTAATTCTCAGAGATCCCTAAATTCTATTTGTATTTGGTGAATCAAGTATTGTTTAGGATGAGGATAGATTATTAGACTCAGTATTTTGAGCAAAAAATTATGAAAGTAAGTTATATTTAATTAGAATCATCCTCTCATAGCTTTATAAAATTTTTGGTGAAGTCAGCTGATTATAAAATGTTTCACATGTTGGGCTATGAGTTGCATGAAGACAAGTACTATGTTCATCAATGAATAACTACTATTGCTAAAAACAAAGTTTTCATCGAGTTCATTTGTTATGATAAAACTGCGTATATTTTTACAAATGAGCAAAATAACCAGAATCTTCTGTGTTGGAGTGATTCCTTTTCTTTTGCTAGAGGTTGAGGAAGAAGTGTGTGTGTGTGTGTGTGTGTGTGTGTGTGTGTGAGAGAGAGAGAGAGAGAGAGAGAGAGAGAGAGAGAGAGAGAGAATTGATTTCTGACTAAGGAGCTCTTTGAATAAAAGTTTATAAAAAGGTGAGAGGTGACCCAGTAGAATAGGCAGAGGAAGAATGTTCCAGGCAGATGGAGCAGTAAGCCCCAGGGCTTTAATTGGAGGCTGCTAGTGTTAGAGGAAGCAAGGAGGTTGATATTACTGAAATTGTAAGTGAGAACAGAAAAAAATGGGACTGGAGAAGTAATGTGGAACACTGATTGTGTCCAATTTCATAGATCATTGTATTTTACCTCAAGAGAGTTGGGAAGCTATTGCTACACAGTGGACAGGAATCTATGGTAGAATTGATGTGGAACTTCTCTCTTCAGTACTTTTGCTGAGAATAGGCTGACATGAGGAAAAAACCAAAAAAAACTTCAGTTAGAACACATGGTGCTCTGTTTAATGTGGGATCTGAATGGTAAGATCATCTAATTCAAAAAAGAATTAATCAACCAAAGCATCCGTTTATATTGACAATGTAAGTTACCCTAATGTTCACAGGCTTTGCAAGTTCTCACTTGTTTTCATGTTCCTTAGAAAAATCTCCGTTGTTTTTGTTTATTGATTGCTAATTGGGTGATATGTTGAAAGATATCTGTGCATGTTTTAAAGCATATTTCAATCATTCAAAAATTTCATCAATTTTCATGGTTTAAGTTTTATATTCACCCCAGGTACACTAGTCTAGTATATAAATTATGCTTGTGTATTTTGCTGCAAGTTTGCTTGTAGGGCATAATATGCAGGTTAGAGGCATTGTTACCTATTAATGCAGTCGACAAAGTTTTAATGTTAGTATGTGCATCAATCTGATCTTATGAGAAACATCTAAAACTGATTGATTCCAAGAAAAACTAATAGATACATGTATTTTGTGAAGAATAAATGTATTTACATACTTAAAAAAAGGAAAAAGTAGCATTCTTTTATCTTAGTTTGGCTTTTTCCAGGATCAGATCCTGAGACAAGAATTCAAATACATCTAACTTATTTGGGAATGTGTCTCTGAAAATACTGTTAGTGGAATACAGAAGGAAAGCAAGAAAGGGACAGAAGTTAAAAAAAGAGAACTCAGGAAAACAGTGGAGGCTATTTCCCTCAAGTGCAAGGTGTTCATCTTCCAACTCTTGATTCTGGCTGAGGGCTCTCCAGTGGGGGTGGGGTCTTAATTTCCCACTCTGTGTGGCTTGGTGCATGGCTGAGCAGAGTGAAGCCCTGTGCCAGAAGGAGCCCTTAGGCAATGACATGCAAATGTTGGCACTTCCACATTATCTCAGAATACACAGAAATGTAAGAGGCAAGGAGACATGGATTGAGGCACCAAAAGCAATGGCTTTAGTTTGCATATTTGAAAAGAGAAAAATGTGTAGATATACTAAGTATAAATTTGTTTTACTGCTGCATTTTAAGATCTAGAATAACTATAATATTTGGGGGATCAATAAATATTTCTTGAATGTGTTCATGTCTCATTTCTCTCTCCTTTGATTGAAAGAGTGAATGAGTACAAAATTGAAATCTGTAAGATTGAGTTCCAAGATGATAAAACTTCTGTTCCAAACCACTCTGATGCTTATTGTCATTGAGAACACATGTTTCAAAGCTAAGTCTGTGCTCATGAAACTGATTATTATTCAACATATACATGATGACAGTGCCTGTCATCATGTATATGTTGAATAATAATCAGTTTCATGAGTTAATCCTATATACTTCTGAGGGGAGAATCAAAGTCATCTTTTTGAAAAAAATACATTTATTGTAGATGTATATGTACAAATTGTATGTGCAATGCTCTCAATACAGGAGACAGATGACAGATATCCTAGCTAAGTGATTTTCCATGGTAGTCTTGAGCAGGAGTGGCAATGTACCTTAAGCAAGGAAGTAAGAACACATGAACTCAGAGGGCAAAATGTAGACATTGCTCCTAATTAGGGAACAAATTGGACACAGAATAAGCAGTCCAACATGGAATCAGCAATTTAAGCAGTTAGAATGTGAGTTGGAAGCCTAAAACAAGATGAAAAATTAGAGGAGTTAATAAATGGATACTGAATGGGTCAACAAGAGCCTGACCCACAGAAATCCTAACATTGCTGGTAAGGATGTGAACAAAAAGGAACTCTCATACATTGCTCGTGGGAATGCAAATTGGTACAACCATTATAGGGAACAGTATGGTGGTTTCTCTAAAAACCAAAAAGAAATTCATCATGTGATCCAACTATCCTACTTCTGGGTATAAATCCACAGTAAATAATAAGCATGTCAAAGAGATACCTGCATCCCTGTGTTTTTTGAAGCATTATTCACAATAGCTAAGATACAGAATCACTGGAGGTGCCCGCTGACAGATGAATGAATAAAGAAAAAGAATATTTGAGTTTCATTGAGCCATAAGGAAGAATGAATTCTTATCCTTTGCAGCAAGATGGAGATGGACCTGGAGGATATTATGCTAAGTAATATGAGCCAGATGCAGGCAGACATATTCGATCTTAATTATGAAATTAAAAATAGGTCAACCTGAAAGTGGAATGGTGACTATCAGTTTGGGAAGTGGGTATTGAGAGTAGAGAAAAGGAGGTTGGATTTGATCAGTGAATACTGTATACACATATTGAAATACCACACTGAACCCCATTAATAGGTACAATGGCTACATCTTAATCAAAAATAAAATTGAAAAGCTATGTCTTATGATGTGGTTTGAGCATTGAGATGTGTAGCCTGTGATCACTGGTCATGCAGCCAGAGTGGAGGAACCTGGTATTCTCCTGGGGGAATGCAGTTTGGTTTCACTGCAGTGGAATGGAGGAAGGAGGGGAGAGCACTGCTGTCTAGCATTTGCAGAGCTTCTCCAGTCATGGAGGCTTTTCATTAGACATGAGAATAAAGCTGGAGCCAAAATTCCTTCAAATCCAAATAAACCTTTCAGGTGGCTTATACTTGTACATTACTCATAAAAAAATATTTCCTTTTATTCTTTTAGTTTATGAAACAGTGTTTGCCAAGAGAGGAGACTGGCAAGGATTAGAAAGAAGCAAGCTCCTTAAGTACTTCAATGACTGTGGTCATTTCCCAACCCAGGAACAAATAGATGATCATTGGGACATGACCTGTAGAGGTGAGTAGTTTCTCATTTCTCTTTTTTCTTTTTTTCCTTCCATTTCCTTCCGTCTTCTAACCTTGCTTTTCTTTCCTGTTCTTTCTCTTACTTTTGTTTTAAAAGGTTTTGTCCTTAAAATTCTTTGCACCTGAGCTTAGTATACTGAAGAAAGACAGGTTGAAAGAAGTTAATAATAATTTTTTGGAGGTAGTGATGATTTTAGCTTTTGTAACTTTTAAATATATATTTTGATATGATGTAAGTTACAGCTAGCTGAGTATATAATCAATCACCAGATTTTAAATATTGATGCTAAAAATCTTTTTCCTGAACAGATTTGGAACTGATGAACATAGTCGAGATTAAATATATAAACATCATAATCTTTTAATATAACAGAATTTTACAGTAAGGGAATAATTTACTTTCTGAACTGTTAATAAAGGATAGTATTGCCTGAGACTGTTTAATACATCATATAGAGGAACATTTCTTTCCTTAAATCTAATGGAGGGATGGGAATTGTAATTAGGGTGTGAGAAATCCCAGTGCATTTTCCTTAACACCTTAAGCTTCTTCTTGATTTTCCTTTATTTCACTTCCTAGATTTATGGAAGTATAATTGACAAAAACACTCAAGGTGATAATTCTATATATACATACATTATGTAATGATTACCCCAATCAAGTTAATCAACATACCTATCATCACGCATAGTTGCCCTCTGTTTGAGTGATGTGTGTGTATGTGTGTGTGTGTGTGTGTATGTGTTGAGGACACTTAAGATCCTCTTTATTCTTCCAACCAGTGAACATAGGATGCCTTTCCATTTATTTATGTCTTCAATTTCTTCCATCCATACCTTTATGGTCTTAATTGTAGAGACCTTTCACCTTCTTGTTTAAATTTATTCCTAAGCATTTTATGTTTCTTGATGCTATTATACATGGAATTATTTTCTTAATTTCTTATTCAGATAAT